CAAGTAGTTGCTTAAAATAGAGATGCTTGTTTGTGTATCAGAATCATGAGGTATTTTATTAGAAACAAAAATTGTGTATTAAGGGTTCCCACTAAGACAAGAAATTGTGTAACAGTTTTTGTTATGATTAATGTACTGGTTGTTTTGTAAGACTGATTGGCTAATATATCCTAATTTCTTTTGTACTCACAGTTATAGAAATTTGATAATTATGTTGAGAATTTCACTGTCAAGTCACTTTCCCAGCCACAGTTCCTTACAAACTAAACATGACATGGAAGGATTTTAAATGCTTTATTCTACTCAATTTGCTGGTGCTACAATACAAATTGAAATTATCATCGAGAGCTAAAAAATCTGCATTTTATGATAATGAATAATATTTAATTTACAGGAATACTTTATAGAAATAAATATGGTGATGAAATTTAGAAAACTCTTTTGTCAATAAAATTTCTGAAATTAGCAATGAATTCTAGCAGCTTATTATTAGACTTAAAAAAATCCCAAAATTTACTGTTTCAATTGCATGAAATAACTGGTATTTCAGAATTAGCTCAATTACTAGTGTACATCAGATACATTTATTAAGAAAACATAGGTAAAGAATTGCTACTTTGTCATCCTTGAAGAAATATGCAAGAGGCAAAGACATCTATAGGAACAGATCATATATAGTAATAGAATAGTTGATGAATTTTTTTAAAAAACTGAAGGTTTAAAATAGAAGAATTGCATTGTAATGTGCACAGATAGTTCAAAAATGATGATAGGGGGAAATACTGGTTCTAGGTCATTTGTTAAAGTTGTTGGTAATCATCGAGTAACTTTTACACACTGCCTAATCCATCAAGAGGACCTTAAAGTTGGGGAAAGAGCAATGGAATTGAATGATGTGCTTCAGGATGCTATTTTATTAGAAGCTATGCCTTTAACAGTCATTTTATAGAGTTAAGCTTTTCTTTAGGGTCATAAACTAGATCAAACTCTTAACAGATGTTAAGGAAATTATTGCTGTGTCTGAAATGAATTACAGCATCTTGAAAAGGTTAAAATAACTATTTTATTAAAATCAGAACTTAAACATAAATGCACATCTCATGCTCACAACATCAGCCACCACTTGTGTACTGCAATTTAAAGTAACAGTAATTTCAGAATTTAAACTAAGACTAGTTTTTGAAAGTACACAATTAAATATAATTCTAAATTGGCTCAGAACTTCTCAATAGTGTACAATTTAAATGACAGGAGATATACGGTAAAGCTGGCTAATTTCAATCTTAGAGTTGGCTAAACCTAGTAACGTGGCCTTAACAGCCAGAAACTCGTTCTGTCTTGCAAAATCAATCCAAACTACCACTGTTCAATAACTTTACCTCTCGGCTGCTGGTGAGCCTATTTTTTTAATGTAGAATTCATACATTAGGGATTACTGCCTAATGTATGATTTAAACATTAAAAAAAATAGAAGAACTGATCCAATAAGCCTTTCTGAAGGGGGGGGGAAAATGAAGAACTGAACCAATAAACCTTTCTGTCAGCCATGAAAAGGAAAGGTTGTACAATGATTTTCCGAACTAAGCGGTATTATGAAGCTGGAATCTGCCAATTATTTCCTGAAACAAATCCAGGCAGATCATGAAGCAAGTTTTGTGAGGGCAGTTATAACAAAAAAATTTTCTGATTGAGATAAGGGATGCTTTGCAATTATTAAGATTATGGATATAGAATCAGGAAAATAATTTCCAGAAACATAATGAACAGTTCATAAATGAATTTTTCTGTAACACTTGAAAACATTCCACTAGTAACAACTTTATTCCTAATTAAAATGTTGTAAAAATATGTATTTAATACATATATAATTTAATTCCTTTGCTGTTTTCAAGAAACTGTTCTTATCATTTAATGTTATCAGAATAGCCATGGAAAAACATGATCACAATCGAGTTTCCCCATGTGTAACACGTATGCGAGCACACTATAATTGTTTATGAAATAATGTAGCATTTATGATCTTAAAAGATTCAAAATTTAGCAAAAAAAGCTTAATATTTATTTGTTTTAATAATATTTCTTTCAATGTAAGCTGTTTAATTTGTTTCATTTTTGTGCTAATACTTTCTCTGTAATTTTATCAACAGACATAATTTATTGTTCAATTACAAAGTTTCATTGTTCAGTTCTTGTAATTGTTGTGTCAGTAATTTCTACTAAACTTTGAATCAAAATCTTTTCAGTCTTAAAAATCTCTCTGTCACTTTCTTTCTTTACTATTAGTAGAGTTATTTTCTGTTTTTAAAAACATGGTCATCACAATGGAAAACTTCTTTTCTTTCCTCTACATTTCTTCACAAATTCCGTTAATTGGAAAATTTTGCTTTCTATAGCATTCTAAATATATGCCAAAATAAGGTTGTTATTTTGCCTGCTTTTGAAATCAAACTTTCTTAAGCACGAATTACATCAGCGCTGCTACATAGAGCGAATACCAAATATGCTTTTGCTTTGCAGATCCTGCTACATCTCCAGAATTGTACTTTTTATATAAAATACTGTAAGTCAAATTCAAATGATAATTGTGATGAGTGCTGTAATAACAGTAGCCTGAAGAAAATAATAATCTGGATCAAATCACAACCACTGAAGGGCTTAATGTGTGATTAGAATACTATCATTTAGTGTTTCCTAGCTAGCAGGTATTTAAAAATGATATATAGGAATCTCAATTAATCAAGAAAAGAAATCGCAACCGGGCTTCAACTGTTTTTTCAGTGAGCAGTTGTTCCATATTTTAGATTTCTGCAGCCGCCTTTTAGAATTAAAAGTTTTGCAAAGCATTTCTAGAGTAGATATTGATTTGACAGAATATTCTGAGAAAGTTTTTGTGAAAAGAGGATTCACAGATTAATTTGCTGTGGTGTTTGCTGGATTATTCATTTATTGTTTTCATACAGTTCTTGGAAGTATGAATTACAAATTTATGTGTAATTTCCCCCCGCCACCACCACCACAACCTTCATAGCTCCTAACTTTAACATTAGTTAGCATGAAAGTTAAGAATCTGGAAATATTTTTAATTATATGTTAATGTTAAAAATAAATTGCAGATTACAAGTACATGGAGGTCTCTTAGATAATTATTTTATATGGAAGAGAAGAAATTGAAGTTTATTATAATTAGTAAAGAAAATGCATCAATTGCAGTTACAATTTATAGCAAAAAGAACTGCTGTAAATAATTCAAAACAGGTTTGGCAAATCCTTCTTAACATAAGAGAAATATTGTAGATTACTAGTATTATTCGCATAATAAATTCTAAAATGCAGTTTGCCTAACTGTTTTAAAGTGCAGTTTCTCTGAAATTACTTAATCCTGACCGTCGAAACCATATTTATATGGTGTTGCTAAGCCTTCTGGATGCTTTGGAAAAAATCATTTCTATAACTTTGAAAATGCATCTTCCTGAAGCTTCCAGAAATTGTTAATCCAGAAATTCCAGAATCACAAGCTATGCAGTTTATATATAAAATACGTAATCACAAATTCAGTTCTACAGAAATACATGATTAGGTACTTTTTAGTATCTAAGTTTAAATACTTATGTTAGAAGAAGTCATCAAATTTTCAGAATTCAATAAACTCTGGCAACCATGCCATAACAATTCTTCAGTATTAAAAATAATGGAGCATTTTTCTTCTGTATTCTAAATACCATTGATCTTCATAGATAAATCTTGTTAATTTGTGTTTTAAATTAAATTTTAAGATTTATGGGATTGCAACATAACAAATTGTGATAAATTTTCTGCAGTAATCTAGTAATTTGCCTTAAAATTCTTAACGGAAATAGTTGTTTTGAAATCTTAAAGTGATCCCCATAAAATTTCCAACAGGGGAAAAAAAAAGAAAAAACTTGTTTGTAAATAGGTTTATTGATTGATTTTCAAGATAAATAAGGAATTAAACTGCAAAATATGCAAGTAGAATACCCCCAACTCCTTCCAGTTGTAAGTCATCATTCTTTTTCTTCTATAAAAAAAATCGCTAAATTGTGCTAAGATAGTTGCACTAATTAATTACAGTTACCAACTCTCCTGGTTTTTCATCACATCACTTGATCTCCGGATAGATTGCAAAATCTCCTGGTTTAAAATTTTTATCCTTTAATAATACAAATATTTCCTAGCAATAAATGAAATGAATTAGGTAAATTTCATTCCTCCACCTCTGGTGAGTTTCAGAGTAAATTTTATTAAATTTTATTTCATGTGACTTTTATTTGTTATTGCATTTTATTGATCTTATTAAATTTTATTTGATTTGAATTGTCTTAATCTACTATGGACAATTGCAGATTTTTATATGAAGATTCAAGCAATGTTTAATTAGTCAATATTTGAATTTGTTTGCTTCATATGTGGTACTTTAATAAGTTTATCCACACAAATACGTGATACATTAATTATTAATTCTATTTTCATTGTATTTATACTTTTGTAAATGTAAAAGCTTTCCTTCACTACTCGGGGGTTTTCTCAGTATAAAAGTATAAGAAAATAAAAAAATTTAGCCAAAGAACATAAAATTTAGAATTTTTAATCAGCGTTATTACATTTTATATCAGAATTGTTATTACAGATAGTTCATTAAATTATAAATTCAGTTTGGAGTTTATTTGAAATGGTGCTACCACACAGTGGGAAAAAATCCCAGTTTTTAAAATTTCAAGGTTGGCAGATATGCATTATATGCAAGTATCTAAATTTTTTATTTAAAATGGAACCATAAAAAAAATAAGTAATACAATATATAATATTACAATAATACACAAAAATAATAGTGGAATCTAATCAATTCTAATATTAATAGAGGTTTATAGCAATATATTTATGTCTATTCTTTAATTCCTTGTTAATTTATTCTGTTAAAGTATTTTTAATTCACTTTAAAATAAATTGGCTTTACTTGTTTTTAAAAATCAATTTAATTGTAGAATGCAGCCAAAAAGAAACCCGATAGCTCTGAGCAAAAAGTTTCACCACCACCTACTACACCACAGACGGAAGATACAGCTTCTGTTCTTGAAAAAGACGATAATGGTATTTAAAAAATTTTATTTTATTACTTTCTATGCAGTTAAGTGTTTGAAATGCTAAATTAGGTTCTTAACATCTAAATTGTATATTTTCGTAATTGCATTATTTGCAGAAGAGGAAGAGGTAGAAGTTAAGAAAAAGGAAACTAAAGGGAAGAAGAAAAAAGGTGAAGAAGATGATAAAAAGGATAAAAAGAGACCTGGGAAGAAACAGGTAACTAACTATATTTTATATTCATTCTTCAATAGAGTGATTGATGTATTTTGCAGTAGAGTAAACTTATGATACATAATGGTATTTTTAAAAGTGAGAAGAATAAATAAATGAGAAAATTTTAATAATTTTTCTTTTAACCACTCTAGCTGTTAATAAAATTCTGTGTATGTAACATTAGTATTTTTTGGAAAAAGAAAGTGTTTATCATATATTATTTTGTTCTTTTATAAAACAAATCATTATATTTTTCATATTGCATTGAAAGTTCACTAGTTGTTGCTTAACATCCTGGTACAGTATTGTTACAAAATCTACAGGTACAGTGAGATAGCTTCCCCTGAAAGCAGTTTTAGGGTTGCCATAAAATGGCAAGGGAAGGCAGGGCTGCCACATTTGGTGACAAAATTGGGGATATGCCATGGATGGATGGAGAACCTTCTGGAACAAATTCTTACCAGTTTAGCCCAGAATGTTCTCAAACACAAGCTGAAAGCTATATAAACCCTGCTGATCCACAATCAGAGTGTCTCAGATTATGTGCCTCGTCTAACGAGCTGATAGTCAGTCATTGAGCGAGTGTCTCGAAGTCTAGCACCAAGTTGGTAGTCGAGTGCATCGAAGAGTCTCTTAGTGTATCGCGGTTAGTGCATCATCGAGAGAGTGTAAGTTCCGGGAATGACTGAACCGAAGAGTCAGGAGCTGTGCTCTGTGTGTCATTAAGTGCATCGCGAGTTGTAGTGGGGAGAGTCTCGAGAGTACGTGGAGTTCCCAGAACGACCAAGGAGAGCCGGGAGCTGTACTCTGGTGCTTTGTAGTGAAGCTGTCTCCACCATGATAGCTTGATAACCTGAAAGCTGTGTTGCTGATCGTGTCAGCGTGTTTCTAACAGTTCGATGACTGGGAATGAGATTTTGAAATTGTCGTGATTAATACCGGCCAATAAAGTGTGTTTCGATACTTCATCAAGTGTCATCGTTATTCACTCCAAATTCACACGAACCCGGTACGAACGTGAAGGAAGAAAATAACGTAACATTTGGTGTCAGAAAAGAAAAACGTAACAATTGATGTCAGAAGTGGGATTTGTCAGTGAATGCCAGTGACCCGCCTGCAGAGGAAACAAAGACTTTGGTGGACTTCCTAGCCGAGATGAAAGCTGGACAAGAAGAGGTGAAAGCTGGAATGGAAGCCCAACAGGAAGAGATGAAAACTGAAATGAAAGCCGGACAGGAAGAGATGAAAGCTGAACTGAAAGAGATGAAAGCCGAACCGGAGGAGATAAAGGTTGAGATCAAGAGTAAATACAAGCCATACAAGAAAAGATACAAGAGAAATTTGAACAGATGGAAGTGGAACAAGAAAAGATTAAAAGCGAGATCGTGGAGCTTAGAGAGGATACTGGAGCAAAAGTAGCAGCTGTGGAAGAACAATTTTAAGAAAAATTGAGAAAATTCTGGAAAGAAGTAGATGTTTCGAAAGAAAACCAGACTGAGCCCAAGAACGAAGCTGAAGATTTCAAGATTCCCCCAGTGTACTCTCATAATTTGATCAAACTAAGCACATACGATGGAAAATCATCATGGAGTGTCTATAAGACCCAGTTTTCCATCGTGGTGGAAAATAACAAGTGGGATTCCCACATGAAGGCTTCGCAGTTGGCTGCGTCACTGTGAGGAGATGCTGCAGACATATTAGGGGTCCTCTCCAAAGACTAGATTTCAAACTTCAACGCCCTCTCGAATGTGCTGGAAATGAGATTAGGGGAAAAGTGCACAAAGGACTGTAGCTCTCTTCAGTTGAAATCTCGTCAGCAGAAAATCACGGAAAGCCTTCAAGAACTGGCGACTGACATCGAGAGGTTGGCGCATCAAGCATATCCAGACTGTCAACCTGATGTCCGAGAAAATCTGGCCTTGATGCATTTTGTCAATCCCATTAAGGATGCGGAAATTCAGAAAGCTCTCAGATTGGCAGATCTGAAAGACCTAAAATCTACCTTGGTCTACGCTATGAAGTAGCGCAACAAGCGATTCGAAGAGATCACCATCCTATTAGAGCGGCTGAAATAGAAGATCCAAATTTTGATATTTCGAAACTAAAAAAAGAAATAAGATAGATTCGGGAGGCGTTAACAAGACCTAATAAAAACAATACTGGGAGGAAAATCATCAAGTGCTGGAACTGCGAATTGGAGGGACATCTCAGCAAGAACTGTTACGTGAATCAAGACTGAAAGAGAGCTCCTGCGAAACAAAACTAGGGAAACTAAAATGCGGCAATCTCATGGGGCGGTGGTTGCCAGGCAAAGATGCAGCCCCTCTGAAAGTTCTTCAAATCTCCTCAATGAGTGGCGGAGATAATGGACTGTTTGTTGAAGGATACGTGAATAAGCATCCTTGTAAGATGATCATAGATATGGGAGAAAATGTAACCATCGTGAGAACAGATGTAGCTCGAGAATTCAGCGAAACGTTGTGTTAGACTCCGCCCTGTGTTACTTTAGAAACAGTGACAGGTGATAAGATTCCCATTGAAAGTAAAATTAACATCGCCATTACCTTCGGAAATGAGACCTACCAGCACTTAGCTTTCGTCGCTAACATCGCGGACGAATTAATACTTGGACTGGACTTTTTGCGGAAGTACGACTTCACGCTGGACTTCAAACGTAACGAAATGCACTCTGCGAAAGAAGATATAACTGTGTTTGAAATGAAGAGCAGCATTTCATCAGCTCACCAAGTAATAACAAAAACAGTTGTCACCATCCCTCTGATGACAGAATTATTAATAGCCAGCTTCACAGAAAAGAATAGCCTCAGATTCGGACTAATTGAATGCCCTGAAAATAGCCCAAGAGAAGTATTAGTGGCCTCCTCATTAGTAGACTTTTTGAAAGATTTCATCCCTGTGAGAGTGGCGAATGTTAGCCACAGACCGAGAAACATCCAAAAGGGTAAAGTGCTAGCAGCATGCACTCCAGTTACTTGCATTTACAAAGCCCCACTTGAAATTCTGACTGAGGCAACTAGTAATTTAATGGAAGAACTTCTGCAGAGTGCAAATTTAACCCACGAACAAAGACGTGTGGCAGAGAAAACAATTAAAGAATTTGAAGATCTATTTTCTAGGCCAGAGATGTTGGCCGCACAAAACTAACGCAACAGTATTATAAAGCCTTTTGTATTTGATTACTTTGTAAATTCTACATTCATATGTATTCTTTAGAATAATGGTTGTTGTTTTCCTTTAGAATGCAGTTGTGTACCTTGCCTTTTGATCAATTTTTTGCTCATTTCTGTGTTTTCATCAGTGTATGCCAAACATTAAAGTCGCCAGTGCTCATGTGAATTCTGCTTCTTTCTAAAGTTTAAGATCAGAAAATGTTTCAGTTTCTGTAAAAAATCCTTCTTTTAACCCTCTGAAAGGCCAGGGTTTCCACTAAGAAAGCACAAATTTCCCAAAACTTCTATGAGAAAAAATTATTTTCTTGGTTTTTAATGTAAAAATTATCCTGGTATTTTATACCTGGATATGTGTACTTTTAGTATATTGCCTTAATTTCTTTGATGTAGCTTAATATGCATGTATATATATATATTCTTAATAAATAAAATTTTAATCTATTAACAATTTTTGGAATTTTTTTAATTGTGTATATAAATGTTTTTTTTAAATTATCATTTTTCCAAAGCAGGAAAGTAAATTATTGACATAAGTTTGTTAAAATCATATTAAAGCTTTTTGCAGTTGTTCACATTTTAAATTTGGAATTCCGTTTGGGCTTCCTACTAAAAGCAATTTCACTAGAAAACTTATAAGTTATAGTAATTCTCATTTTCCAATTCTTCTTTTTCAGTGTTGCATATATGAGATGCACATTAATATCAGACATAAAATTTGACAAAAAATCAATCTTTAATTTAAATTAGTTTTTTGTAGAAAACTTTCAGTTCTCAGGATATGAAGTGAAGGTGTTCTTTTTCAAGAACTGAAGCTGTTCTGGCAATTTTAGTAATAGTTATTGAAACAGTTTTAATAATATTGCATTTAAAGTACAGTCTCTTGGTCTAAAGCTGTTTAGAATTGTGAATAATAGGAAACTGACTGTAGTTTTTCCCTTATTTTTCATTTTATTTATTTAGTTTGAGGGAGTAAAATTTTATTACAAAAAATATTTAATCTTTTTTCATTTGTTGTTAAAACTTGTTGAAAACATAACTGTGTTTTATAAAATTTTGGTGAATTTTTGATACTATAATGAAAGTTAACACGTAAAAGTATTGTTATATCCATTTATTTCATTAATTATTCATATTGTGCAATGAATTGAATTGGTTGGTTTATTTTGAAGCTCTATGTTGAGGAATGTTTTGCGGAAGACAGTAAAATTTCTATATGCTTACATTTACTTAAGATATGGAAAACTCCATGCAGCCAATCTGTTAAGTTGCTGGAAATACAGCTCAAATATAATTTTGTTTTGCTCAAGATAAACTAATACAATACAAAGTTCGTAATCCGGACTCGTGTGGACTTCGATGATTCCAGATTAAGAGTTTTTCCGGATTATAGATCATCAATTTAAATCTGGTAAGATGGCATGCAGAAATTATACAATTAAAAATATGAAACCAAAATTTATGAAATAAAGAGCAATTTTGATCTAAAGGGTATCAAAATTTACAAAAAAGGCACAATATTTATTTGTTTACCTTATTAAGCATTTCTTTCAATGTAAGTTGTTTAAGTTGCTTCATTTTTTGTGCTAATACTTTCTCTTTAATTCTATAAACAGACATAATTTCTTGTTCAGTTTAAAAGTTCCACTGTTCAAGTCCTGTAATTGCTGTGTCATGAATACCGACTAACTTGTCAATCGAATTTTTTTCATTTTCAGTAACCTTTGTCACTTTCTATCAGAAGTGCGCATGGGTAAACGCTTTACGCACATGCATAGCGGATGCGGACATGCATAAGTTTGTGGCTTTGAGGTC